ATTTGCGAAGCTGAAAATGACTTTATCAATTGTATCTTATCATACCCGATATCACTAAATAGATCATAAACCTTTCTTCCCCTTTCTATTCTTTTCTCAATGGCATTTTTCAAGAGATCACCTGAAAGCTGTTTTGTAACTTCCTTGACTAGCAATCTCTGAGCCTTACGTTCTCTATAACTGCTTTTGAATCCGTCAAAAATTTTTTCAAGTTCCTCCCCAAACGAATAATATCTCTTAGTAATCTCCTGATTTGTAGCTCTATTTTTATCTTCAGCCATGGTGATTGCCTCATACAATTCAGTAAGGTTCCCGGGGTTAGCGATTGGAGGTTGCGTATCAGTACTCGCAGAACTTGGCGTTTTTAGCTCCTTGATAAGTCTCTTAAGAGTAGGTGATTCCCCGTCATTAGTTGAGGTCTTCTGCTTTTTGTTAGATGATTTTTCAGTAGAAGCAGGATTCATAGTGCATTTATTCTGCGTGGTACTTGAGCCCTGGGTTTCAAAATTGTTGGTTACTATTTCATCGTCGTCAGTTTCCATATCATCAGTTTCCGTAACATTAGCTGATGGACATATAGGGCACAGCTTTTGTGGATTATTGATACAGTTGTAATGGACAATATGCTTGCAGGTTAAATATACGAGCGGTTTCGGCTTTCGTGCAATAAATCCTTTCCGGCGTATCAAATATAGACAAGAGTTAGTACCAAAGAGGTAATCGAAATCATTCTCAAAAGCTTCAGATGCATTTCGTTTTCTCTCTCTCTTCTTGTGACAATGTATATGGCAGAAAGCGATACCAAAATTCCGTAGAGAACCTTTTCTGACGAGATCCATTCAAATAGCTACGTGTCATCTAATAAAATGGTAAATTATTAGCTATTATATATTATTTTGCAAAATTTAGTAGTACCATCTCTACTAATTACGTAATAAGCTCTTGTAATATTGAGACATTGAAGTTTGAATATTTTCGATTAATATTCCCAGCGACCTCCACCCAAAATTCTTTCTTTTACCTTTTTAGATGGCCATAGTATCCAGCATTTCATTCTTTACGCTCGTTAATAAAGAGGCGGACCTGTACAACAGTCCACTGGATAGTCAACATATTTTTACATGAAAAATGTTCGTAGAAAGCCTTCTTTTATAAAAAAAAAAAATCTGATTAGCGGATCATCTCGTGGCCAAATGTTTTAAAAATATTTTTAAAAATACCCAGTGATTGCTACATTAAAAATGTTCTATTTTTCCATCGCAACATTTACATTTCGGTAAAGCATAAAATACAGATTGAGATTATTGAATTATTACAAGAAAATAAGCTATGTTACATAATTTTTTTTTTTACTGTATAATTTAAGTTATAAAAATTTGACGTAATGAAAGCAAGATTAACACGCATCCTTCACATAACCAATTAATTTTGATATTAAATCATCAAACAAACATTGGAGGCACTTCATAATCATCATTAAAATGGCTAATAAGGTGGTCCAATTGTCGCTGTTCATCTAATTTAACATAATCTTTCAACACTCGTAATTTGTTGCGAATATCCATATTGAATAACTCTTGTTCGGATAAATCATCAATAATTTCTGACATTCTATCTTCATTTATTTCAATACGTTCAAGAAATTTGGTTTTCTTAAGAAGAGGGGGTGCAGAAATTGTTGTATGAGTAACCAGTTTTCCTATCCAACCATTAAGTCTATTTGTTTCTTCAAGCACGAACTGTTTGATTATCGTTAAGGCCACACCACGGTTATTGATTTCACAAACAGCAATTGTTTGCTCATTGTCTATTTTCAGGAAGAAAAATAAGATCCAGTTATCCTTACAATCGGTAAGAACGGTCATTGAGTGTGTTGGGTGGAGTTTATCAATCAGAAACAATTCTCCCATGGCTTGACCTTTTTTGAAATCATTAAAATCTATTTTTGTTTCAATCCAGATGACCGAGGTTGCACTTGGACCTATGGAAATATCACTACCGCCTGTTATAATGGTATTTGCGCTTTCTAAATGTGTTTGATTTTTTATTTGCGTGTGGATATCTTTCACTTGACAATCTCTCGGCAATTTTAATACATTCTTAAACCATTTAACGACTTCTTTCATCTGTGCCGATTCATCTTCATTTTCGTTCCATTCGAATGGAGAACACGATACGGGTTCAAACGATTTAAAGTCATCCGCACATAGCTGAATCATAGATAAGTGATGTGGTTAAGCATCATTAATAATACAATAATCTGATGATACTTACAACAATGGTTTTCATCCCGATTTTATTCATAATTTTATTCATTTTGTTATCGGACAGACCTGATGCTGAGATAACCTCAGGATTTTTTTGGGAAAGTTCTTCACGGACGGCACTTCTTATGGCCTTTTCTAAATCTTTCTGAAGCACTTTTGGGGGGGGGAGTAAATTCAACAAAAAAAGGTTAGCGCGTCACGTTCGAGTTGACCAATCATTGCGACGCAAAGGCTTACCGCCTTGATGTTCATCTAAATTGGGTTAGGAGACCAGAAAAGGCAAAGTCAGTTACTGAACAAGACACCGTGACAGTAAGTTACCAATTATGGCGCAAGGGCTTACCTCTTGACTTGTCGACATATCCCCTCAAGAATTCAACTTTCGCTTCATCTTTTGTAATCGTCGAAAGAATTGCTTCTACTTTAGTTGCGTCGTTGTAAGCAAAAAAAACGCGTAGCTTGGTTCTTTCTTCTTCATTATTGAAAGGAAGTTCGTTAATATTCGTAAAGATAGAACTTGCTTTATACATTTTTTTTATTTTATTATTTAAGAAATAAATGTTGAATAGGAAACGATGAGTCTTTTAAAAGAAAAAAATAATTTCTAGAGATTTATATATAGTTTAAAATTAAGCTATATGAACGCGTCTTAAATCTGATTAAAATATTATGAGAACGCGTTTTATAAGTCCGAAGTATTAGGTTATTTATACTGATTGATAAGAAATGATTATAAAATTCGAGTCATCTTAAGTATTTATTATATATCGGATTCACCCATGTGGAACTTTATTAATTTTTTTTAGAGAGAAATGCTATGAAAAATACAATGCTATCAAAGAGGGAAGGAGTATTCGGATCCTAGGCCATTTAATGCGAGTCCCAGCATCAAATTATTTCTTTGCTCCCTCAGATTTCAGATAAATTTCTATAGCTAATTTGTTTCTATTGCTAATATTTCTAACTACAAGATTCTCATCCCTATACTCTTTTTCTATACTAGATTTTCGAAATAAATTATCTCACCCATATTTACAGAATTTTTGTCTATCTATATCTCTCCTAAATACACAGATTATGTAAAATAATATTCCCTGCAATGAACTTCTCCGAAATTAAGTAATTTTGAATCTACGGCATAAATTCGGGAGATTAGCAACTGAGGTAAAAAATATTTCTGATTCACACTTACCATTACTATTAATTTTTGCAACATTTCATTCCGTCTGAAAATTTATTACTTAATGCATTACAATAAAGTTAATTCGATTTTTTTATTGCCAGTACAATACTGTACTAAATATCAAAAATTTGGCATGTGAAGATGTTTATTATTGAAAATTTATTAGACACACTGCGCCAAATTTTATTGAGGAGTGTGATGTTAAGGCATGTGATGAGATTCATGTGAATAGTTTCACTGCGCCTATTATACACGTGATGATTGTCAAAGATTTTCTTGACAAAGATCAAAATGCCGATATATAACAAGAAGAGTAATATATTTGTTTTATTTTGAAACATCTAATAGAAGAAGAAATCAATTAGCATCGTGATGACATATTTCAAGAAGCTAGTTGAGCAATAAAATTAACATATCTTATTATTGCTTTGCGAAATATACTCGTTTGATTGATTAATAATATTGTCGATATTAATAATGATAGGTTTAAAATTTTATTAGATTTTTCGTTTAATTTTTTGCTTATATTTGCACAAGGCAGATAAAAGGGTTTACTAACTGTTTCAACTTCTTTTTATATGATTTGTAATGAGTTTAAGGTTCGATTCTTAGAATAAATCTTTGGGGAAATTATATTATTATGATTCATCACGAAAATCAGATCAACGGATACTCCCTAAAATTATAATAGACATAGGGATCATATCTCTGGATCAACAAGGGGACTTTTATTATTAATACATGCAAAAGTTTGAGTATATGCAGGAAGTTTCGAGAATAAATTATATAGTGTAATGTCCTAATGATACTACGCATTTATAGGATCTGGATTCTCAGATGAAAAATTGAGAAATATTAACATATAAGCACAATCCCACAATAGATATTGACATGTAAATATATTACGCTTAATATGCCTTAGTTTTATTGATTATAATTAAAAAAATACATACTTTGTTCATATTGCAAAATAATATTGATCTGCCATCACGTGGCTACAATCGTGAACTTGAATTTATTGCTTGAAGAGTTACAGCTAAGACAATATTTCAACTTATCTTGAGATAATAACTTTGCTAATTTAGGATCATATGGAAGCTGATTCCCATTTATATAGTATTATAAGCAATGTAATCTATAATTCCCATGTTTTCCATCACAAATAGGATATGGTAAGTTCTATAGCTGAACAGATACAAAATTATAATTATTAATCTCTCTGAAACTATTTCAGAATTTCAAGTATGTGAAATGCTTTAACACAGATTTGATAATTAATTCTAGAACAGGTTTGACTTCAAAAGTGATAAGTCTTTTTTTTCACATTGTTCAGAAAAAGATAAATAGGATACTTTGTTTTTTGGCTTTGAATTTATAAGAAGGTGAGCTTTTGATAATTACCATGGTTCATGACCAGTTTCTTTCTTATATCTTTTATATAAGTTAGAACGAATCTTATCTGTCAAAATATTTGGTAAACCAGTTAATTTGGCATATCAATCCAGATATTTGGAGGTTAATATTTTATAGGATTTGGCCTGAATATTAAAACTTTTGGATGCTAGATAAACAAACTTCTTAATTTTTTATATTTTTTTAGGAATAACGATTTCCAGTTTTTCATCATATCATACTTTAAGAAGGGAAATTCCATTATCTTAATAAATACATTGTTTTTACTGATCACGATTAATGATGTCCTCAAGTTTTTTGATATCTTTATACCAGCTAGTGCTATGAAACTGATGCTGAGCCTCTTGCACCTCCAATGCAATTTGACATTTTTGGAAGAAGGTATTAAGTTCTAATCTGTTCAAAAAAGGAAGGCGATATTTGATAATAGGTTTCTCATTAAGAATTTTCTTAGCTATCTGAATATATCTATTCTAGAATTTGCGATTTTTCTTAGATTCTCTTTCTGACTGATCCTGCTCTAGTTTTAAGATTCTAGTCTTAAGCTCTTTAAGTCTAACATTATATCTGTTATTCTCTTTCATCATCTGCTTTATAGGTTCTGCATTTCTGAATTCAAGCTCAGTAATGCATTATCTCAATAAATCTATTTCAAATTACATATCTGCGAATTATAAAATATTATTTATGCTCTATAAGTTAGTATTTAAAATTGGTAAAAATATGTAGGTTATTTCGGCTGATTGTTAACAGTTTTTGCCAAGAAAATTTTTTATTAATACATGTAAAAATAAATACAAATATTTAGGACCTAGCCCACAATACATATTATTTTTTGATAAATTTTTTGATTCTAGTCTTCTTATTAGTTGGAGAACTATTTATACTAACCCTATCCTTTAATAGCCTAACAATTATACTTATTACCCTTTTCACATTATTTGAAGTAGCTTAGAATTTTCTTTAATAGCAGACTTCATGAGATTAATTTGATATTTGCTACTGCTTGTAGAGAAGATGTTATCCGAAGTATATATGATAAAATGCCACTCTGTACCTGTGATCATAATACTATAGATATAGTCAAAATAGTCATTCCCAAATGCTTGATCTGCAGTTTATTTTTCTTATTTGTTTGGAACGCACTTTCAAGTTATATCAGATTCTAAGAAATAAATTATCATTATTATCTCTAATATATTAGAAAGTGAAAATGTGAATAGTAAGCCTACCTACACATATTCAATCTTAATATTTCATGATTTCTCTTCAGTAATGCAAAGAAAATCTTCTAGACTTTGATTGCGTAGTTCATCTAGCCTATTGCATCTTCATCAGATATATTTTTTTGTAAAACTATAAATATGTCTTGGGAGGTAAGTTTTTTGGCTATGGCAATTGATGCATGTAATATTATCAAAATAAATTCACAGTACGTCACCTCGTTAGCATTGATCATGATTTTCATATTCAAAAGTTTAAGATTATATTATTCATGTAATGATTAAAGGTCTTATCATCATCATTAATTTTTTCGAAAACTGCGAAAGAAAAAATATGTTATTATTCATAATAGTTCATCAGTTTACTTAAGAATGTAATCACTTACTAGGTGTAAATTATTTGATGTTTGTTATATCTTTCTCATTCACCTTATTTTTATGTAATATTTTCTTTAAGTCATCAAGAGTTCTAAGTGAGAAATAATTTTATAGCTTTTGACTGAGATCTTTGATAAAATCTACAAGTCTTGTTGCTGGTCTTCCTTTCATGCTATAACGTTTAAGTTTTTTTAGTTAACTTGAGAAAGTCAAGATCAGCAATTTTTCCTTTTCATAAAATTTTAAAGTAGGTCTCAGTAAGCTTCAAGTCTTTCCTTTCCAGATAATCGATAAGCTTCTATGTATTAAAATCCTTAACTATATTTGACATTGTTCGTGAAGAAACTTCTTCTGTTATTAAGCTTAAAGAAAAAAGTATAGAGAATTTTAAAGACATAGCGTTTATATATAAGTATTTGTGTTTGTACTTGTGAAAAAATATGCACTTGACTGCAGTTACAGGTAAAGTTAGTAAATAGATATAAAAGTATTTTTGATTTCAACGTTCAAAGAGAAATGATTTATTTTTTTTTGTATCAATTTATAATGCTTTTGCCTAATATATATGCAATTAAGATGTAATACAGAATTATTAGATGATTATATTACATCATTACATGTGACATTTTTCAAGATTTATAACAAAAACAGATTCTGAAAGGACTATGTAAAATAATATTTTATTTATGAAATAAAAAAAACGTTGCTGGAGTAACTTATACATAAAAATTAGCTGTTAAGATGCTTTATATGACTATATCACATTACATTTTTTTACTAAAATACTTGAATATCTAAATATACTATAATGTAAATATCTTTTTTAGAAGGCTGACCAGAGAAATGCTCAAGAATATTAGATATTAGAATTGCTCACTTCCTATCTTAGTTTTATTTTGTATTTATTACTGATTCAGCATTAATTGATACTTCTTTTTTATTTGAATTTAAATTGATCGCATGGACCACAAATTCAATAATTAGAATATTATCAAACTGAGAGAAATGTTTTTCTTTAATTTATTTTCTAAGCGAATGAATAGATTCTTTATTGTCGATACTGATTATAATAATATGATGTCTTGTGATTTTCTCAACTGGACAATTACTACAAACAACAAGACAGTTAAGTCTGATTTTTAGCATTTTGCTTTTCCTAAACATGAAGGTCTATAATGAATAAATTTTTGACCTTATATATATAAAGATATTTCAAAACATTTTGTTATAAATAGCAGTTATATTTAATACATACCTTAATTTTTCACGGAAAGGTTAGCTGAACTTTCACATACCACTACATGCTTTATATCTTGCTAAGAAAAAGTTAAGA